GATGTAAGTGATGGAGGAAAACAACAAATGGATGTTGGAGACCATCACCCAATTTGCATCCTCAACTACCACAACCTCTCAACTTTCACTTATGCCAATAAAAAATGTGGCAAACGTGGTTAACAACAACGAAAATGGAAGAAATGGAGAAAGCATGACAGATCCACTCCTCAATACCACTAATCCCTCTATTGTAAGCAATGTTGTTATGAGAACTCACTCCAGTAGCGTTCAGAGTTTTGTCATAAAGGAGGAGTTGGAGAAAATGCTCGATCAGAAGAACAAGAATCTTAACTTTTTAAAGTTTAACTTGAAATTACCTTATCTTGCTGAGGTAGCCACTAAGCCATCTCTTAAGGATTACCCAAGCTCGAAATTCAAACAATTCAATGGCAAGACTGGTGATGCTCGAGAACATGTTATGAAATTTGTGGAAACTTTGAGAGTTGCAAGCTGGATGATGAATTAAAGTTGAAGGAGTTCTCTTAGTTTCTCACTGAGAAAGCCTACACCTAGTATGTTAATCTCACTTTCGGCTTAATTAACTCTTGGAACCAGATGTGTAAGATATTTGGGGAAAAGTTCTTTTCTACCCAAGAGAATGTGACCTTTCTTGACCTAGGGAGAGAAGATTAAAAAACAAAAGAAGATCTTATGGAGTATATCCAACAATTTAGAGAACGTGTACTAGATATACAAAATTCTAATGATGAAAATGAGCTAGTCAAAGTATGCATCCAAGGTATGATGAATATATTGGTGTATTTGAAAAACTTGCCTCTTCCTACTTTTGTTATTTTGGTTAAAACTGCATGACGGATCAATAATACGATCTTTAAGCCAAAAGGAGCTAATTATTTCAACAAAAGGAATATCCCAACTGTGAACGTAATCTAAGGAGAGGATAAGGAAAAAAGAAGACTTTGAGAAAATTTAAGGCCAAGGCGTGACAACTTGACAGAGTAAAGGCATTCCTTTAATAATGGATTAGAGATGGACAAATAAATTTGCCTTATGTATTGAGACTACCAAAGGTAGAAGAAAAGTTCGATCCGTACTATTACGATTACCATCGTGTGGTGGGTCATCCATTTGTTGAATGTAGAAACATGCGTAAAATATTCCATAGGAGGACACAAGCAGGAGAAGTCTTGATTGGAAATAATAGGATTTAAAATAATCCACTCCCTGCTCATCCAAATGCCCAATGACATGTAAGTGCAGTTATCAGTATTAAAGAAGAGCATGTCCCTTCTTCCAATCAAGAAGAGGATACATATGTAGCTACTATGGTTGCCTCTTCCATTACTAGCTTACTCATGAAGATATCTAGCTACAGGCATTTCTTGTTGTGTAAGGCTTGATCATGTATCAAATATAAATAAAATGCAGTAAAAATAAATTTAAAAATTAAATTACTCCTTATTCTCCTAGGATCTCTTTCACGCCAAATTAAGTACAGAATTAAAGTAAAAATAAAATATATGTGATCATATCAAGTTTACTTAAATAACAAAGGCTGATGAATCTTTTGTTAAACTACCAAATCTCCTTTCAAAAAACTCAACCAACTTAGCCCGGTTGTTCTAAACCAAAGCTATCCAAAGAATCCTTGTGCAACCTCTAATGGTGATCCACACTAATGAATTAAAAAATCCTTCTTTGAGGATTATGAGTACTATGCCTTGACAATGTGCTAGCAAAGAGGAGTTTCATAAACTCATAATCCACAGAAAATTTTGGGGCTAAATACATAAAAGAAATCAAGTGAATGAAAAACTATTTTTCCTTCATACAAGGAGTGGCAAGGCAAAAGGAATTTCTAATGTGCCATTCTTTTAATTTTTTAGCCATTCTCTCTCATTTTGTTTAGGGGCTATATCAAGGTTTTTATACCTTGGATTAATTTTAAATCCTAATTACAAAACTATTTTGTAATTGCTAATTAATCCAATAATTTAATTAAATAATTTCATTAAGTCCTTAAGAAGTTTAGTTAAGTTAATTATTTAATTTAATCAATTAGGCCTAATAACTTAATTAAATAATTTAATTAATTAAGCCCAACAATTTAATTAAAAAATTTTAATCAATTAATTCCAATGACCTAAATAAACAATTTAATTAATTAGGCACAACTTAATTAAACAATTTTAATCAAGTGCTTAAGAAACTCATAACTTCTAATTTGATTAAGTCCAACTTAATCACCTTTCCTATTTTATTTTCAACATTCATTTTAGGTGTGTGACTCATAGGCTTCTAACATGTTGACAATAAACTTAACATATAATTCTTAAGTTAAACTTAGAATTGGATAAATTTAAACTATTTTAAATTTATCACTAATGAAGTTAACTACCTAGAGTTTATAAACCAAGATTAGGATTTAGCAATCCATCATAGTCACCCAAATGTTAGACGAGTCAAGATGGTTTGACTCAACTTTTTAGTGATCAACCTTTTAGTGTAATTCATTCCCTCATCATATATCCCGAAGATGATAAGAGCATGGTACAATGCCTTCTTTTATGGATCTCCATATTCATTCTTAAAGTTTGATCATCAGTTTTATAAAAACTCATAAAACTCTTTTCATAATCTTTAAGTCGTCTTGGCCAAGGACTTTAACAAGCTAATATCAACCAAGAATAGTTAAAATATGTTCTTTGAATCACTTGGGGTGATGATTCCTATTTTGATCACTCGTTTGCCTTCACATGCTTTATGCTATGCCCAAAAGTATTCTGTTTTGGCATCCTTGGTTAGGTACCAATAGGGATGAAATCAAAGCATAGCACTTCACACATAAGACAACCTAATGTCTCAAGTATAAGGAGTATTTACATAATTGACACATGAGAAGTATTGCATAGACACTTGAATGAAATACTAAATGCATTTTTCATGGTGGGTCAAGTTCAATGAACTTGCTATTCTAAGCAAACACTTATATTCTAGTTCCAAAAATTTCTATACTTCAATCTATGAGATCGATTACTTATTTTCAAAGTAAATAACATAGAATATACTAGTTTTTAAGCATCATTGATGTCTAATCATAATGATACATTGACCGAGAACATTTGAGATTATGTTTTAATACATAAGGATCTCGTAATTGCAACCCATTACAATTCCCTTGTAAGGCATATTAATATCATGGACTTCATCTAATTTGACTTAACTCATTATAATTGATGTCTTATCGATGAATGGAAACCTTTAATCATTCAACATGAATTATATTGTTGCATTATTGGAATCAACCCTTAACCAATCCCACTTGGTTGTAGGGTTCATCCTAACATCTCCAACTACGTTCTTTACTCAGTAAATATAGGCAAAAGTTGTTAAAGTGGTCATTTTGCTTTAGTATCATGAAACTCTATTTTCCTTGAAAAGGCTACTAGAGTGAGTAAAAGTTGTTTCAAATGCAATTTTACACTCTTTAAGCATTTAGAAAAGTTTGATATGGCAATTGAACATTTCTAAATAGTTTTTCATGCCTATATTTGTTCCAAGGCACGCTTGGTTCTTGAAAGCTCCAAGATTCCTCAAAAACTTGCATTAAGAATTTCAGGAATTAAAATTATTTCAAGTTAGTAAGTTCGCTTGTATAAGCAAGTTTTGATCATTAAAACTTGCTAAAACAATTTTCAAATTTTAAGATTTTTATCTTTGCAAAAATGGCTTTCAAAGTCTCAAGATTATTAAGCTTCATATGCTTCCCTTAAGTATATGTACTAATACAATTTAATCAAGTAAGCACAAATAAGAATTTCATAACATATGGTACCATCAATATCAAACATTCATGTGTAAAGTCATGCTTATAACCTCATGGTCCCTCTAAATTGAAGAACAAATATATTTCTCAAGAAAATAAGAAATTTTTATGACCAAGTATGTGAATATATTTATATCAAGATCCTATCAAGCATTCAAGAGCAAGGATAGATGCATACTCAATTTTAAGCTTATACATCTTTTAAGATTATGCAACTTGAACCATGAACACATAAATCAATTTTGCATAATCAAGAGATATCAATAAAACTCAAATGAGTGTCACATAGAAATTGGTAACCAAGTTTCTCATTCAAATGAGTGTGTATAACTTTTGACATAAAAATTACCCATTCTTTATTTTGTGTTCTAAAGCATCTAACCTTGAAGAAAATATTACTTTTTCATTGATTTTGGTACCCAAATTGCTATGTATCTTTGGTTGAAAGATTCAAGAGTTGAAAGTATTAGGTTGATAAAATCCATTCAATAATAAAATATGATTTGGTTTAGATTTTAGGCTTTGTAAAGAGAAATGAACATAACCTGTGGGTCATAGAGATACAAGTGTTCTAAACAAACTACATCTGGGCCAACGTCTTTGGTTAATTAGGCCTTTAGCACATTTGTCTTCAAATTAAATGAATAAGCAATAGGTCACTTCAAGTTAAGTGCATAAACGATGCAAATAATTGCATCTAACCGAGTCCAAGGATCACATCATCGAATCAATTGGTCCACTTGCTAGATCTATCCAATTCTAATTAATAGGTGACACAAATGAATACAATCTAGTGCATATGCATACAACATACTTAATTCTCAAACAAGGTTTTTCTTCTTTTGTTACTTCAATTTCGTCCAACTTTATATTATTTTGTTAAATTTATTTGCTGGACTTGTTTTTTACTTTTTGTTACTAGAATTATATTAAAGGTTATTTGGTTATATTATCTTACTTGTTAATAATACATGTACAAATAATTAAATTCTTTTTCGATATACATAAATCATCTACAGCTATGCATTGTTTTTGGCAAGACAGCAATGCATTTGAGTCCATATGCTGCATGCAACTACCCTTTTTCCATGGGTCCAGTGATCTAAATTCTGAAAAGAGGAAGGTATAGGTGGCTGGCGCTTACGGGTAGGTGAAGTGAAAGGTTGAAACATAGACCTCCAGGGCCAGGGCCAAGGCCAGGGGACGAAAGACAGTTGGACTTGCGTCCGAATTTAAGCGCAATAATAACAGTTGAAAGGGAAGCAGAGGCACGGGGGTGTTTGGTAATCTGATTTTGTTCCCCTTAGACGTGCCTGCACACCTACTGCCTATATAGTGTTCATTTGGCTGCTATGCTTTTTTACCCGCCAAAAGCTACCTCCGTACTCCTTACTGCTTACCTCAACTAACTACCCACTTCTTCCTCTCCGCCCCTCCCACCCCGAATTCTGTGGACAATGCAAGGGGGACAAATGGTGGTTGATGGCCCTGTCAGGCTCTCCTCTGTTCTAACTTCTTCCGAATTGGTATGAACTCAGCAGTAATTCTGCTTCCTTTACTTCTCCGGCTTATTTTTCAGTGAAGGGTTTCTCTTCTTTCAGTTTCGATATGATGGAATGCTACTAAAATGTTTAAAGTTTTTGCTTCATTTCTTTTCTTGCATTTCTCTTTCATCAGCAAATTAGAGTGTTTGAGTAGTCATAATAGGCTTATCTTGGCATTGCCATGCTTCTCTAGCTAATTGTCTTTGATTCGAGTTTAGAGTGTTTTTCTGCAAAAATATTCAATGCAAGTTAGCATTATGTCTTGGAATGTGTAGAAAGGTACTTCAGGCGTGTTGCAACTAAGTGAGGTGGATGATGTAGGGAGTATAGATAGGAGGATTCGGGTAGGCTTAAGAGATTTGAACGTTGTGGCAGGTGAATCGAAAATAGGAAGTGGGAAATAGAGAGTTAAATGTAGAAAGTAGGATAAAGGGAGAGTGAAGTTGGAAGTAAGAAACTGAGGCAGACAGATCAGGAGGTAAGAATTAAGTTTCCTAAATGAGACCAAGGATGCCATTAAGTAATGCAAATATTGCAAGGAATGAAAAAATGCAAATATTTCAAGCAATGAAAGCGTGCTTGCTTACCTTTTAGTTAAGAGAGTTAGGGTGTATTCTACTGACAATCTGTTAGCGTAGACATTGTGCCAGAAGGGTAGGCGCCATCCAATGTGTGAAAAAGGTATAAGAAATGACCTCTTAACTAACCCCATTCTGCCATCAAGCCTAGATTCTCTACAACACTCTACTAATATATGATTAACCTTAGATCCTGCCACCAATACGAGGTTAATCCTATCATCTTGACTTCAGATTTTATTTCACTCATAATACTGCTACAAACTAGTACAAGAAAGATTTTAAGGCCAGGGACGAATTTCTAAAAAATATACCCGAAACTAGTTTTAAAGTGTGAAATTTATTTAAGAGATTGAAGAGATGCATCTACTTAAAATTGGAGAGGATAAATGAAAATATGGTTGGAACTTGGTCTACACTGCATTTGATTACTTCCTGGCTAACTCAAGCTATGTTTTTTCCTAAGTATGGCTTTTTCATTACCTTAATTGACCTTCTAATCATTAGCTGTTCTAATAATTTTATTTGTGTGAACTTGGCAGAGCTTCCTGCCATCACTGACAAAAATAGTTGGCACACTTGGACCAAAGTCACGTTCTGTTGAGGTAATTGAAGCATGCCTAAAGGCAGGAATGTCAGGTAATGTATATATGCTTCTTCCATTATGCATTTTGATTTTCTAGGAATCTCCTATTTATGCTTCATGTCTAATTGTAGTCTTCATTTACAGTTGCAAGGTTTGATTTTTCTGGGTTAGACAGTGACTATCACCAAGAAACTATTGACAATTTAAGAATAGCTGTGAAAAGTGCCAGGAAGCTTTGTGCTGTAAGTGATTACTTACAAAATTAGTTTTGGAATGCTGTTACGCACAAAATTTTGGACGATAAACTTTCAAGCTTTATTTACCTTTTGCATATATATCAATTGTGAAGAACTTGACTGTGTGCTTCATTGTCTTGTTGCACATTAACATGTCTTTTCATGAGTAGGGGGAGAATAATTTTAATTTGAATAAAACTTTTCATGTGCTGATAAATGACTACTCGATTAGAGCAAGCTTCTAAGCTAGATGTCTTTTGCTTGCAAAACTTTTGCCACTGTTATAGTAATATCCTTCATGCTTTAGTGCTGCACGAAATCTCATATTGTTTTATTTGATTTATTGGTCATTTTAAGGACCCATATCCACAATTTTACTGTATTTTTTGCATAATTTTCAGGTTATGCTGGACACTGTGGGTCCAGAACTTCAAGTTCACAACAAGACAGCTAAACCAATTGAGCTTAAGGCTGATGAGATTGTGACCATCACCCCAGATGCTACAGAAGAACCATCATCAGAAGTGTTACCTATTGGTTATGCCGGACTAGCTGGGGTATGTTATGTATATTAATGTCACATGGTTTTACCCAAAAACTAAAGAAATGCTAACTACAGGAAAAAATTGGAGCTCAGTAAATCGAAGAAAAACAAAATGAAGATGTAGGAATGAAAATTGTGCAATAGAGATCATGGATTTGATGTTGTTCTTATATCTGGCTGCCTATATGAGGAAATCGATTGATTTAAGTTTACCCCCTTTATTGTCCCCTCTTCAGCAGAAAAGCAACCATCAGATCCACTTCAAGTTCTCTGTTCTGGTTTTTGTCCTCTGAGGCATTGACTTCTTATAGTCTCTTAGAATAGATACTCTTTTATCTTAATAGTTTGTTTATGCTATTTTCTTTTTCTCTCTTTGTTTCTTCAATCCTTTCGGATGCCTTCTCTTGTGAAAAACATAGTGGAAATTCGATGGCTACTGATTTACTTTCTTGCAAATAGTAGTGATTGGCTTGCTGCTGACATTAGGTACATGCACCATTCCCTTTTTACACTTAATAAATTCTACTTGTGTTTTTCTTCTACGAACTGCAGACTGTGAAGAAAGGTGACACTATTTTTCTTGGGCAGTATCTCTTCACAGGAAGTGAAACTACATCTGTCTGGCTTGAGGTAAAAATTGCCGTTGATTCGGTATTGCTTCTTTAAGGCAATGTCTAGATTCAGTACCCCAACTTTGGTTTGCTGGTTTGTTCATTGATTTGCAGGTCTTGGAGACAAAGGATCGAGATGTTATTTGTCTTGTCAAAAACACAGCCACTCTTGCAGGCTTAATATTCACCATGCATGTTTCCCAGGTCCACATCAACTTGCCGACTTTAAATGAGAAAGACAAACAGGTAATTCTTAATTAATTAAGTTTATTTCTGCAAGCAATTAACAAGAGGGTTGTTAACATCAAGTCCCATACAGTTTGCGAAATCTGTTTTTGGTTTTTCTTACCTGATTTATTCTCTACAAGAAGTCCTTAGTTGCATATTATTGCTATTAAGTAAAAGTTTCAAAAGGATGATGATAAATGTGCTGTCTTGTAACAATTACCTTTTTAGCACTAATTACGATTTTATTTATTCTAACAATGCCCATAATTTTAAGTTTTAACTTTGTCAATGTTTGATATTGTTTAGATGTGGGTAATTATGTCATAATCACTGAACTAATTTATTACATGTTTCTCATTGGTAAGTATCAATGTGTCCCTTGAATTATGTCATTGTGGATAAATCATGTTTAAATCTAACTGATTCTTAGTTCACCTTTAATCTTAAGTTCTAGCCTATAATGTCCATTTGCTGGATGTGTTAATGATATTTTTCAAGTTAGTGGTCCTTCCTTCTAGCACTTTGTGAAGCAAGACAGCTTAGCATTTTCGACTTCATCTATTATAGGTCTGACTTTTATTTCTCTTCTTCTATGTTTTGGAACTTAGATGCTTATGGTGGGAGCATTTTTTGGAATTTTAAATCCTCAGCATTATACCTCTTTATAGATTGCCTTACTATCATCTCCAATTACTGAGGGAAAGTGTAACGCTCAATGAGTGAAGGTCTCAGCATTTCGTTGATGCTTTATTAAGAGTTCTAACTGCTTTCAAGGGAAGTTGTCTGGCATCAATTAAAAATATTTGTCTGTGTCTTCATTGTGATAGGTAATTTCAAACTGGGGCAAACTGAACAATGTTGATTTCATATCCCTTTCTTATACCCGCCATGCAGAGGATGTGAGAGAGGTTTGTTTTATTTATTTTTCTTTTTCCTTCAAGAGTTCTTGTCAAAAGAAAATCTTATGATTCTTCCTTTGTTTAATTGATAAATAATTTTGTTTATATCATCAAGAAGATGCTTCTATTCAACATGGCTGCTTGTCTCAAATCATTTGGTAGCCAACAACGTTGAGCATAGAAATAACAGAAACTAAAGTTCAATGTTACCAAAGTTTTACATGTTGACTGGATGCAAAAACATATAATGACACATGCTCATTCTTTCTGCAGCTTAGAGCTTTTCTTAGAACTCAAGATCTTCATGAAGCTCAAATATTTGCCAAAATTGAAACTGTAGAGGTAAGATGACTTATTCAAAATTTATAAAATTACTTTGTGGGTGTCTCCACCTTTGTAAAAATATTCTCTGTAGTAGTAAACCTTTGTGTACCTTTGACATTCAAGTGTTAAGTTAATAGTGTCAGCTGATCATACCATGATGGGGTTCTTGATAATACCAGGGTCTAAAGCATTTTGATGAGATCCTCCAGGAAGCAGATGGTATTATCCTTTCTCGTGGGAATTTGGGCATCGACCTTCCACCGGAAAAGGTAGTGCTTTGCCTAAAATTTGCAGTTCTTATTCCTACAAATTCTGCTTAGTTAGATTTTAATGTAATTTAGATCTTTTAGTGATGATTATTCTTTCATTCTTCTATTTTTTTTTTTTGGATATTTGAGTATTCATTGTTTGACTGGTAGCAAACGGATAAGCTCACTTTGAAGGTTAAGGTTTTACAGAAAATAGCAATTAGTTTCTACCAATAGTTGGAAATAAGCTGAAAGCGATATTGTGTTCAGAGATTCCTACTGAATTGCAAAGTAGCCTTTTATGTGCTGGGCATAGAGGTCAAAAACAGTTTTGCATGTTTTTCTTTGTGGATGCAGAAACCTTTAAAAGAAATTTTCCTCATCAATACATACATATTCGACTTCTGCTTTTCTACAGAGTTACTCATACATGCCAAATTTGACAGTGTGCTGCTAGGCTTCAAAAGTCCTCTTGCACTGTTTCCATTAAACTGATTTTAAAATTTCTGTGTTGGTTGGCTAGATTTCTAGTTAAAGTTGATGCTTTTGCATTTAGATCTTAAGAGGTATCTTAACTGACTGCTGCTGGGTTGAGCACCAACAACCTTGTCATGGTTTTGGCTGGCCAATTTTGCAATTATTTTATTAATAAAACGAGGATGAAGTTCTGAAATAGATCCCAATAACGTTACTAACAGATTCACCAAAAAGAGTAAAGTAAGCATGTTAGCCTGCATTATTGGAGTTATTCTTAGGCTTATGATTTATGTTTCGTTTACTGGCTTAAAAGCCGTAATGACATGGAGTTTTAAAATTTATGCTACAAGACTTTTGTAGTGCACTTCCTCTGCCACCATATAGGCTATTGATACAACTAGGAGATATTAATTCAGTACAGCTGCAGATTCATAACCTCCATATGGCAAATAGAGAAGTCCAATGCCTTGCCATGCATCCAATGTAATTTTTATAATCACGGTCCATCAAAACGAAAACAATGACAGGATGGCTTCCTATCCTAAGTACAAAAGTATTGTATATATTAAGACCTGCATAGTTTACTAACATGATCATTATGAGTTGCAACTTTTTGATGCTTAACACTATTTCAAGTTATCAGTTCTGCAAATTTTATGTTGGAAGTTCACTGGAAATTTTGGATTTTATGTTGTACAAATTCATGTAAAAAATATGTGGTACTAATATATGATTCCAACCAATCCAATGCTGCATGCTAAGGCTTAAGATTCATGTTTAGAGTCAGTTATTCCATGTTAGTTGCCAGTCAAACCATTCATTTAAGTGCCAGATATCTTTCTGCATAATTTGTTTTTCTAAACCTATTCATGAAGGTTGAAATATATTTTCTAGTGGTAATCTTTGTTAAAAGCACCAAACGGCAGGTTTTACTTTTATATATCAGAAAATCATGGCTTATGATGACCAGCATGTTCCACAAACCAGAGTAATTAGGCATTAGATGACCAGAAATTTTGTCATCCCTAAGTTTGATACCCATAACCTTTTTCTTGCTGTTGACGTGCCCTTGTTGGTTTCTTTCTATTGTAGGTTTTCTTATTTCAGAAGTCTGCTGTACATAAGTGCAACACGGTAGGAAAACCAGCAATCATTACTCGAGTTGTGGATAGTATGACCGAAAATTTAAGGCCTACCCGTGCAGAAGCTACTGATGTTGCTAATGCTGTTCTTGATGGTTTGTAAATTGATATTTTGTGGAGAAGAAGAAAAGAATTGTAAGCTCATTTTGGATATCTTGTATGAAAATTTACCTCTGCCTTCTGCTTTCAATTAGGTACTGATGGAATACTTTTGGGTGCTGAGACTCTATGTGGCCTGTATCCCATTGAGGCTGTGACAACTGTGGGGAGGATTTGCGCTGAAGTAAGTAGTAATATTCCTAAACTTTGGAATCAAATGAAATATGAGTATTCTTTGAAGCATTAGCAGGCAAAAATAATGCAGCACTAAGAGAAGAAAGTGACATGGCAGATGGGACTTTACAACAAAACAGTTAGAAATGAGTACATTGATCAAATAAATGATTATGATCATTTGAGCTGGTTTTGAATTCGAAATTGTCTCATCACTGATGAAGGAAATGGGTATTCTCAAGTGTTTGGCAATCGCTTCTTGCAATTTTGAGAAAAAATAGAATAAAAGACTATACATCATCAAGTTAATGTTTATAGTTTGGTGCTAGGCATGGCTGGAGTTGTTCCTTCATTGCCATGCTGCAAATCCTCAACAGCAATTTGCTTTATGTGCCAGTGTGTTTACCATGAGGCGGTGCCCCCATCCATCAGCACCCCTTGTGATTACAACTCTAGAACTATGAATTGCGTTGAGAAAATGCACAAACATCAAATTCCATTCCACAATGATGAGTGTTTTATACTATGTGCAGGCTGAAAAGGTGTACAATCACTTTCGCCATTTTAAGAGAATTGTCAAACATGTTGGAGAACCCATGTCTCATGCTGAGTCTGTAGCTTCCTCAGCGGTATCTTAAACCCTCAACCTCTGTTGTTGAATTTTAAACCAATAGCTTGATGCAAACTCTTCTCCAAATCTCTACCTTTCTGCAGGTACGATCTGCGATCAAGGTCAAGGCTGCAATTATAGTTGTGTTCACATCATCAGGTGGAGCAGCAAGGTATCCTTTAACATGGTATATAATTACTCATTCTAATCTGATACCTGAAGCTGACCAATAGAAATGTAAGGTCACTTGCTTACTTACCAGCTTCGTATTGACAGATTGATTGCAAAATATAAGCCACCAGTTCCTGTTTTAGCAATTGTCGTCCCACGCCTCAAAACAAATTCATTTAAGTGGATGTTCACCGGTTCATCACAGGTACTTGCAACTCTGTTGTGCACTGTTTTATATTGTTAACCAAGAGTTGTACTCTTCCAGTGACCGCGCCTCTTATTTTGCAGGCTAGGCAGTTGCTTGGTGTTAGAGGAGTCTACCCTCTGTTGACCAGTCCTGACATGGTAAGCCTTCTCTCTCTAAGGATTAGAGCACCCTAGCAGCTTTAATATGGGGATTCGGATGAGGGAACACCTCTTTTCTTCTTCTTTCTAAACACATAGGTGTAGTCATTTAATATTTCTTTTCTTTCTTTTTGCTCTGTTTTCTGCATACAACAGGCTACTTCAGGTGAATTGGGTTTAAAACTTGCCCTGGAACACGGTAAATCAGTGGGATTGCTCAAACCTAATGATCAAGCTGTAGTGTTCCAAAAAATTGGTGACTCGTCAGTGGTCAAGATTGTTCAGCTTGAAGGCTAGGAGGTTGTCTCCATAAATATTTTCAACCTATCATTTCAGACAGTATTTGCCTGCAAAACAACTAATCATTCCTTCCCCAATTTTCCTTAGATATATCTCTTTAATTAGAAAGAACAATAAAATAATCATTTTCCTTGCTAGCAAGAAACATCATTTTGTTCAGCTCACCCTTCTACTTCTCTCCATTGTAAAGAAACGCAACAATCACTTCCCTGCCTCTTTCTAGTTTCATATTGCAAATTCTCAAATGTCGCCTAATGGCTGAAATATCACTGTTTTCTATAATAATTGAAATCTGTTTTGAGTGAAAGGTAGATCTTCCTTAAATTAGAGGTCCAACTTCCTTTAAATTTGTTCATAAGTCTAGCAGATCTAGAATGCCAACATCAAGGATTCAACCATTTGGGAACTTCCTATTCTAATGCAGTTTACACAAAGTCTTAACAAGTCAAAAACCCAACCCACTGGAAAATTTTGTTGCTGTGCAATCTCCTCTGCCATTAAAGTTACCTGCAATGCAGTTTGCATCTCCACATCTTACTTTCCCACTCTACCACTTCTGGCTGAACCAAGTTCAGTCAACAATGTCTCATTATCCCTTGATGAAAACCAGTCACCTTTATTGGCTCATCATAGATCTGGCGTGTGCTGAAAGCACTAGTTACCACAAGGTAAGTACGAAATCCTTTGAACAAAACATTCAAGATTAAATTCCAATATCACCAGTGATGTAGTCAAAGAGTTTAGGGCAATTAGAACTCAACAA